GGACATAACTGTGCGTTGTGTGTCCGAGAACAGCCCCAGCGCCCCCAGGCTCTATTGTAGTATAAATAGTGTCCAAATGAACCCTTCTGCCCCTCTGTGGGTGGCTCCCTGCTCGGCTTCTTGGTGCTTAATAAATAGGTACGTGGATTAATACTTCCTGTGCCCATGGCAGCCCCTTCCCTTGGGAAGAATCAGAGAGCCCCACCCATCAGAGGAACACGCCCCCCCGGGGCAGGTATCCCTGTAACTGTGCAGCGTCTCTTCACATCGCCTGTCACCCCCAGCAGTCGGGGGTTGGGTATTTAAAACCACTGATCATGATCTGTAATGAGCATCCTACTGTGTGACTCAAACACTGGAGCATCTCTCTCCATCTGCAGACTACGCCATCTCCAAACCTGACCTCCTGTCCCGGATTGAACGAGGGGAGGAGCTGTGTCTCGGAGATCGGGGTCGTTCAGAGGAGAGCGAGATCCCTGCAGACCCCAGCCCAGGTACATTGAAACCGCTCTGAAATGAGCCCTGAGGTCTCTCACTTGCTGCCGGGGCATTCCCGGTGCTGGAGGTGTGACTGCCTGGCACAAGGTGTGAAGTTAAATGGCTCTATCCAATGAAAGCTTCACGAGCTCTTTCATTCCCTCTGTTTCAGTGGGCACTTTTCTGACACTTGTGCCAGGGACAGGAGAACGTTTGGGGGAATTCGGGCGAAATGGACGTTGCTTCCCCCGAATCCCTGAGGTTGCACCAGGGGGTTGAGCGTCCTGTGTGTGTTTTATTCCTGTTCTTTGCTTTTTTAATCTAATCCCGGCCAGCGGGTAAGAGCAGTGATGGGATGAAGCCACAAATCCGGATCAGGATCTTGAAACCACTTCCTCCCCCCTCCCCCTAGTTTGGTTTGACCAACGGTGAGCAGACACCCTGTGACACGGGATTTCCCCTGGCTGCCCCCCAGGTTAGGCAGGGCAGGGATGAGAGAGAAGACCTCTCTGGAAGGAGCAAGTGGGAAAAGCTCCTTTGAGATCCCAAAGCCTGGAACAACCCAGGGGCAGTTACACAACTGAACCCTGGCAGCCTGCGTGCTGCAGAACGTCCCGTGTGCTGAACGGGCTCTGAGACTGGACAGGCTCGCCCAGCCCCCGGGGGAACCACTAGCGCAAAGGGAAGCTGAAGTTCTAGCAAGCTCGGAGAACGTGCAGCTCCTCCCCAGACGTGGATTTCTGTCCTTGTCCAAGTGCCATCTGCAGCTCTCCCCCCATCCCATCCCACCTCAACTCCCCTCCCCCTTCCTGACCGTTCTGGAATCAAACCCATCTGCAGCACTCCATTTCCCCTCCCCCCAGAGCCGCGCTAGCGTCTGTTCCGAGTGAGCCCCCTCTGAAACACGGTGCTGGGCGGAGATGGGTGTGAGGCTCCTGGGCCCAGCTCTCAGCGGGG